CAAAGCAAGGTTCCTCAATTTCCTCCGAGTCCTCTATCAAAGGAATGGGGGTAGTCCATGCTACTGCAATTGTGCTTAGAAGGGTAATCCACAGCATCCTTCTTTGACGGGGCGGATCTGCCATCGAAGGCTTCATGGTTCGGATGGACTATGAGACTGTAACAAGAATTAACAACACAAGTAGATTATAATTGATCGGTATTTTAGCAGGCTTTAGAAATACATTTTCAAGCAATCAAGCAAGATTGGGGAAGAAGGCATGAGTTTTAGGGGGGATTCCTACATGCATCACAAAAGAAAAAAAAACTAGAACTGCTATTCGTATTTACTTACTTTCTTACTCAAGTGATATCTAAACATTTAATCAGGCAGTGGCCTTCTTCTCTCCCCCAGCCTGTCCACCCATCTTCCTCTATGTGGATTAGTACATAACACCATAATGAGAAAGAGAAAATGAAGGCTGTAAGGCCTGTGTTGTAAATGATCTAGAAACATTTTTCAAAACCGAGACAATGTTCAGGAAGCAGATGATATGCATAATCTCAGCCTCAGCTTCATATTTGCATTAATTAGAAATGAAAAGATGCGGCTGAAGAGAGATCTTTCCTTTTAATCTGGATACCGATACTCAATTAAGGGTACAGGTTATCATCTTAAGCATACATACACTTAACTTTCAAGTGATGGGATTCCACTAGGGGAATATCCAATTTGCTTAGCACTACAACAGACATTATTAAAGAAAACGAGGACAAACAAGTTTCCAATATCTCTCATTCCTAAAGAAATGTTTGTAACTGGGATTAAAAAACAAATACTGTACATAGTAGCAATGCCAATCTCAAAGCAAGAAGAAAATCAAGCCTCTGCTCTTCCCAGCACCCAAAACCAAATTAACATAACTGGGATATAGTATCAGATAAAAGCATACTCCATATTAATCATTTCAGCTGATTAAAGCATTTAGAGGTGATTAATCTTTGGAAAGAACCTGCTGTACTATCCACAGATCCAAGCTGAAGGCTAAGGACTGAAAAGGCAGATAGGGAGATTGTCTGGATGTACATTTGCGGGGGGGGGGGGGTAATTTGATATATGATGCCCTGTGCCCAGCAGACTATCCAGGGATGATCCAGCAAGGGAAAGGAGGAGTGGAGGAAGACAGAAAGTTGGGAGGAGATAAAATACTTTTACATGAACCACAAGCAAAATAATCACTCCTTTCTAGTAAAAGCCACCCCCCCCCCTCCACACACACACAAGAATCCATTTAGAGGAAGCTTACCAGAACACAATGACCTACACAGGTTTCTCAGCTGTATCAGGGGTGGTAGTCTTTGTCTCCTGGATTCCTTCTTCTACCTCCCATCATTCCAATACAGAAGAATAAATCACTGTTAAAGACTAGGCAACCTGACAAAGGGGTGGGGGGAGGCTTCGCAGCCCTCCAGCTACTGCCCATTCAAAGGTTTGCCCGAGTTCTCATATATAGTTGTTCTGCCCTCATAGCAAAGGAGAGATGGATTCTCTTGCACTTCCTCCATGCAGGAGAAGACAGTTCAATTCCTCCCTCCCATTAAATAAAGAAGGGGGGGGAACCCTTCATGGTAAAAGGTCATATTTAGGAAGAAAAATTGGGGGGAGGAGTTAGTGGGATTCACATTAAGAAAGAAAGCAAAGAAGCAATTTGCAAATGAAGGAAATTGGGGAGCCCAGTAGAAAGAAAATACGAATTGGGAAAAAAGGGAAGGGGATCTCTCAGTTCAGCATTTTCATTTTGCTCCTTGCCTATACAAACACACACACATATGTGTGGGCATTCTTTCTTTTGTTTTCTACATTTAAAAAAAAGATGTATGATCCAGGCACAAATGGGGGA